TGCAGTCAAGATGGATTCGCTTATACTGCAAATTCTTCTCGCAGGAAAAAGTCTACCGAAAAATTCTTGATGGTGTAAGTAAGGAAAGGAGACCACACAAAGCACCAGAAGGATGTATACATTTTTTTTTACCCTGACCCCATGTACATGTACATTTCTGCTTTGAATCTTCACGGACCTTGGAAATCCTCCACTGTGCAGGAATCCAATGATGCTTTGCTCTTTTGACTTTATAAGGGGCACGACAGCCAGCGCTATGTAACGTAACAGCTGCTGGGCTCTGCTTTCCTGAACCTAGAGAAATCCCCAAATACTCCTGGTGGATTATGAACAATCTGGTTCAGACAAAGTTTGGAGGTGGGTTTAATCTGGGGCAAACTGGACAATTTTCTATGACTGAGAAAAGAGCACAAAAAGCAATTTCTGCTCCACACCCTTCATTAAGCCACTCTTGTACTGGACCACAAAACCCTTTCTTGGCAGTTGACCAGTTTGAGCCTTGTCTCCCTCAGGGTTGCTGAACACAACTACATTTTTTGGGCACGGTACAAGTTTGACATCTACAGATTGTATTCAAATGCTTTTCATCTAGCAATCTGATATTCAGAATAATTGGGTCGAACTAGGTACAAAACAAACTCCAACAAAAGACATATGAATGACAGCAGCTGTGTGAGTCAAGGATAATTTCTAATAACTTCTGTTGACCGGGCACTTGGCTGTGTGTTACTGTACCTGTGTTACAACATGTACAGTACATGTATCAATCCGTAGTTATTCCTACACGTGATATGTAGGCTAACTTTTCCAAGTGCTGTAAATTCATTTGAATCCTTGAAGTCCTTTCCTCTGACAAGATTTTTTTAACAGTCGCTGTGAATATTTTGGCATTTGGGCATTGAACATGACATCAAAGGCACCTGTTCTGAATGGGACAAAATACAACAGCCCAAAATACGACAGCATATCACTAGCCAAATACGGTAATATTACTGTCAGTGTTCAAGTTAGCGGTATTTGAAAAGAATTTGTTACATGCAGTGTTGTAAGGAGTCACTAAATTTGGTGACCTGATTTGGTCATTTAACATTCTGACTTGAGTTGAGTCTTTTGAGTCAAGTCACGTTGTGTGGTCAAGTCGAGTTGAGTCAAGTACTAGTACCCAGCTTGAGTCAATTTGAGTCACAAATTTTGGAACAAAATACAATAAAAACACAATTACATGTACATATTACATGTAGTCATTTTTTTATTTTCATTTAGACATACTGAAAATAAATTAGAGTGACAGGTATCCAGCCAACTCAAACTTTGCTTCAAATCATTTTTTTTGAGACCCAAGTCTTACATGTACTCGAGTCTCCATGAGAGACTTGAGTCCAGTCAAGTCTCATCTGATGGCAGAGACTTAAGTCAAGCGAGTCATTTACCCGTCAGGATTCGAGTCAAGTCGCACCAAAAATTGTGACTCGAGTCAACTCTGGTTACATGTACATATACAGTACATTATGACCATTAAGGACAAATGGATAACACATGTACTTACTAGCCCAAAACACAGACCTTGATGGGATGCAATCATCAAGGATCAATGCATCAGTCTTTAAGATACAGAGTCAGGTAACTGATTCCATTTTTTCCCCACAAATACACAGCATATTTCTGGCTGTACATGTACAATGTATGTTTACAAAAGGAGACAGAACAGCTTTGTAAGATCTCATATCAATTTGGGGGGGTGGGGAATTCCTGAGCAAAATCTATGGAGCCGGTGAGAGATGCATTTCCTGTCCACCAAAATATGTTTTTACAAGAGCGGTGAAACAAAAATAAACAATTTCCAGTAAAACGCTGGTATGACCACTCCATCTCCCTTTTGCCTTTTCTCTGCAGAGGAAAAAAGGAGGCGGACATGATGAGATAAACATGAAGACAGAAAGCAACTTGGAAATGTTCCAAATGGGAAATCCTGTTCAAAGATTTCAAGAAGCCGAGCGCACATCATGTACATGTACGACCGCAATGCAACCAAACTGACCCCCCAAAAAATCAGACAGGTTAAACCACTAGAACATGACCCCTAACTACATGTAATATCACTCATCAGGACGTTTTGAGATGAATACAGGTTAACTGATTGTTTAAAGCACTGCGCACATAGTTAGGAAAATTCGCTATGGACGTAAGCCAAGAATACAGTGCAAGTTTTTTGGGGAACTTAGGCTTCCTGGTACACTCTCGACAGTTTTTACTCAGTGACAAGCTGGTGAAACAAAACTACAAAGTGTACAAGCACAAAAGGCAGGCAAATGGAAAGTCGGAAACTGAAAAGAGCAAATATTATGTTGGCCAACATTTTGTAAAGTATTTTTCGACTTTTTTTTTACAGCATGCACAGAATGTGTGAAAGGTCGTCAGCTATCTTTGGATATATTCCATGCCTGGCACTGGTTGTGTCTTTGTGCATAAATTATTTACATGTACAAGTCAAGAAACAAATTTGGCTATTCTGGTGCCTCTACCCCTGCTGACTTGCTGGGGAAAAAACACTTTTGGGATTAAAATGGAGAGCTATTAATCAATGTTTTCCGCTGCAAGGTTTCAAGCAATCTGGTTTCAAGCAGTCTGTGAGCTGCCTTTCATTGCTGTCATAACGTAGCTGGCAATTCATCACTCCCTATCTTGTAACAGATGGAAACAATTGCCAATTTCTCATTCAGCTGAATAAGGAAATCTGGAAGTCTTCAGGCAAATGTACCACCCTGGAGAATAGGCTCACATTGAAGTCGTTCTGGTCATTCAAAACTTTGCTACAAATAAACAACTTCCAAATAGTGATAAATTACAGCTGCTGTTCTAATAAAATTGCCCCAAGTTGTCTTTCCCCCTCGTGTTTTCTGCACAAGCTTTTGCACTGTGAGTGCTATCCCAGTAAAATTTACCAGTTACATATATGCCTAGATAACCAAAAAACCTACGGGGAACCAACCTCTTCTAAGATGATGAACATTGCCAAATAAATGACCCTTTGTTGCGGCCTGATCCCCTCACCCCTACAAGCTCCCTTCCTGTGTTTACATCACGAATGAGCCTTTTAACATCAGCCCCAACATCCAGCATCTCCAGGTAAACACATCCAGCCACACTCACCAATACCTCACCTCCTTTCTTGATTTTTGAATTCCCCCGAGTGTCACAAAGTCTTGGTTCTGCCTGCACCATATTTGTCACCATTCTCCCCTAAGTCAGTTAGATCAAATCATCCACTGGGTACATCAGGCGATACCAGAAATCGGAATCCCAGGCATGGCAAAAGTCATGACCACATTTTTATCGCCGTCATCGCAGACAGCATAGGATCTGACCTGTCTAGCCTGAAGCTATAAGATCCTACGCCTGTTTCAAATGACAGCGCACTCTAAAATTTGATTTTAAAATTTTTTTTTTTTTACTCTCGCTTTTTCAACTGGGGCAACTGCCAAAAGCTACCAAACGATGCAATTACGTTGTCTGGACTCTCCTGCAAAAGTGCGACTGGACTTCAAATATATAGCCTACATGATTTGTACATCATGCAACTAGATCAGGTGAAACTGAGCAAAACAGGGTAATGAAATCCACAGTGATACTATCTGTGCACAAGCCGAAGAGGACCCTCTTTCTTGGAGGCTACATATACTGTATGTTTATGTGTATTTAATTATGCAATTGAGATTTGGAAGAAGCTGGAGAGTTGGCCACTGCTTTCTCCAGTGCCCATATTGATGAGCCTGTCTACTTGTTGAAACTTGAAAGTGTAACTGTCACAGACCTACTGGATTCATACCAATCCTGCCAAATCTGACAAGATTCTACTGGCAGATTTACACTGAACTGAGAGTGTGAGGGCTAGATGAAATACAGTATTCCAACACGGACACATGTCCCATGAATCCCACTGACACAAATTTATAAAACATGACGCATGCGTGTTTTCATGGACACTGCTGATGTCAAACATACATGTACTGGTATCAAGTAAATAACTGTGTGTTTGTGTAAAACTGTAGAAGAGGAGAACCTCTGAAAATAACATTCCTGTGTTACATTTTGTACTTTATTTACTAACACAGTGAACACACAAATCCTCCACAGCAGGATGAAGATAGGCCAAAGTAGGCAAACCCACAAGGGAAAAGCTAAACGCATGAGCACGCATCGATTAACCTTTCCTGGCTGAAACTTTACACCTTGGTTTGCAAAGTGTTTGTGGACATTAGCTGGGCGGGACTTAACACCCCGAATTGCTGAAGCCTGACTCTGACTTTGCCAAAAAGTACAGATCATTGATTTGCCCCCTCAGGTCAATCCTCACTCAGCAGTTTGAACTGTTTCAACTCACAGTCAGCATTTCTGGTGCAAAATGCAATTTTCCGTATTCTTTTTAAGTGAAACACTTCTGTACTCAAATTGAATTCCATTTGTGACTCCAATTTTTTTAACCAAAGATTTTTCGTTTAAAACTCTGTTGAATAATTTTACACTGAAGTCCACCCAGTGTCATCAAATCAATAATTGTTAGATGTACATTTAGAATTTCCAATTTGACCTGTGTACGAAATACTCTTAAGTCAACCAATGTTAACACAGGTTTGTGAGCAGGCCTTGCTTATTTTGATAGGAAACTTACATGAGATTAACTACAGGAATGCGTAGCCCACAATCACTTCAGCTTTATCTTATTTCAAACAAGAGAGGACAGCATGAAGAGGCTTTTGTGAGATAACAACCAGAAAATAGCAAGGATAAGAAGAACAAAAATATCAACTGGCAGTCAGTGCATATGTTAAAAATGTTCATCCCATAAATGTCTTGTAATTGTAAGCCAGTTTGGACTTGCTGAAATTCTTTTCAGGTTGGGTTTCCTTTCCACAAGTCAGGAGCAAATTTTGTTGTACCAAAGTTTTCTTTTTTGACAAAATGAAACGACGACAAATTACAGGTGCAGAATGAATACAAACCTGGTATCTTAAGTTGTCTCCCTTGAACGCGTCTTCCGGCACCGTAAACTTGAAAACCCTGCCCACGGTGGCTGTTACGTCAGACAGACCGGTCCCCAACGACACTGGTTTCCATAGTTCTGCTTGTACTAGGTCAGAGCCTGCACTGGCAGTCCTTGTTAGGCACAACACTACTGAAACCAACAGGATACAGTGGCTGCATGAACAAAATTCCCTCGGGCCGAAGCTCGCTGATGCTGCCATGATAAATGCAGAAGTAGATATCAAAATGTTCTCAATCGAGATTGGTGTACATGTACCAAAGGAAGTGGCAACGTCAAGCTGAAGACCTTTGGATTGTGCAACAAGCACTGAACAGTACGTATCCTTTTTTCCAAGGTGTACAGAACTGCTGAAGGGTAGACCTCCTTGAATTTCCCAAAGAAGTATCTACTCCTGACTAGATCCAGCTCCAGTGTGCTGACAGTTCAGAAGCAATCATGGTGCACCTGAAAGAACAAGTCAAAAGACTGGTTGAATATTAATCAGTTGTAACTAAATCAGTCACATTGCTGTGGAAGAACTACCGGTACATGATTGAGATGAGCAGAGCGGGCTACATGTACATGTGTAATGCACAATGTAGGCCATCGTGAATGAACCAGAATGCATGAACACTTAACGAAACTTGACAAATTCATGTACAGGGACCACGTCATTGATAGACACGGGATGCTTGTAATGGCTCAGTTATCAGCTTCAAACGGCAATCAAGACAAAAATTGAGATCACAGGCTCTTACTCATTCCTGACAAATGACACTATTAAAATGAAGATCTGAGGTGTGACATGATGCATTGCCATGCTGCAGCAGGCTTCACACAAAGCTCATTAATGTGACATGATCAAACTTATTTAAAAATACGCATGACACACATTCAGTCCAGCCTCTTATCCTGTATATTTTAACGCCGAGTTGATCCCCCTACTGAATCCATCACAGGCAGACATATCCCAGCTATACTAACCCTAGCATCCACACCTTAAACAAACAGGAGGAAAAGCTGTGGGAACTTTGATTGAAACCATCCCTACTTCCCCCCCCCCAATAATCTACATCTCATGGTGGTACATTCTACAGCCTTCTTAAGCCTTTACCTTCCCGCATACAAATGCCCTCAACCGCCCTTCTGTGGTACACGTACATCTTTAAAAAAAGGGGGAAAAAAGGAAGTGGTTTCTTTCCACCTCAGTGCACAGACTGTCTGGCACCTAGGGAAAGCCACGCTCTGCCTTCCACTCCAGCAGAGCCAAGATGAAAACACATTTAACGCTGCCACTGGCTCAGTTTGCGAACAACATTACCCTACCACAACAACTACTCCCATACACACGATGCGCCATGCAGAGTTGGCAGGTTCAATAAAGCAACTGTGAACAGTATTAAAGCGAGCTCAGTCCACCGGACTATCGGTCACGCATCGGCGGGGATGTGCACTTCCGATGGACAAAGGGGTGCCCCAAGCGAGAGTGAAATGAAGTGATTTTTACGATGAAAGGAGTATTTTTTTGTCCAGGAGTGACTGCTGGGAGGAATTCCTTATATAACTAGGCAACTCGACCTGCTTCTTGTTGTGCCAGTCACTGACTCACACACTTTCTGACAGCTTTCTAAATGGTTTTGGGAAAAAGCAGTGTTACAGTTTTGCTTGGGGATTTTTCTTCCCATTCTGAATGACTTACGTGTGCAAAGTGAACAAAACTCATGGACTAAGCACATAAAGTGAACATCCAGAACAGTACATTGACGGATAGCCAAGACACAAAATGCTGAGTACGGGAGAAGGCCGAGTTGAGGAAACCCAAACCTGCCTTGGATTGGAAGACAATGTCTACAATGACCTCCCAGCATTAGACTGCCGAATAGATCAGTCAACCCTCACAAGTTTAAGTCCTCTTTGTTGCAACCAGCCTAGAACTGCAACCAATGAATGCTGCTTATACTCTTTCTAATCCCAGACAAACCAAGAACCGATTGAACTTGTTATGCAGCAACCAAGGGGGAAGCAGTTGTTGAAATTCTGCCCACTTTTACTACGGGTTCCACAAACCTTAACTTTATCTAATGCTTACAGGATTCCGGCTTGACTTGTTTTCATTGAGTCCCCTAAGATGTGACTTGATTTTTCATTTTCTGCTGCATCATAGACACAAAAAAAACCAGTCTTCATGTGTTCATTCCACAGTAATATTTGACAACATCTGTACCGGTAAGAGTAAGCAGGAAGTCATCGGTTTGAATCCTACGCGGCCAGTTAGTGAGTTCTGTTCACAACTCTTGGACCACACTGAGAATACAGTATGAATATTCATACACGACATTGTAAGAGCAAATACCTAACTTAACATATCCACTGCGAAGCCAAATTACTAACATTTGAAAAAACGTCTGCAGCCCAAGATGACACCAAAGCCATACATGTACATGTACTGGTAGTCGAACTAAAGTTTTCACACATAGCATATACTTAGCGAACCACTGGTTATTATCTTTACCTAGTATCAGTTTTCAGTAACAACATACAAGTGCGCATATCTTTTACATGGTGTCTGGTCTTTTCAACATAACCATTACTATTTCATGACTGTCTGCCCAGAGTACCGGTGTAACACATGCTTGTGCTTGTTGAAACATTCAGACATGTTGCTCAATGTGAAAGCTACCAGTATGACAAGATGTTATAAACACAATGAACAGCTTTTATGATTTTGTTTGCTGTATTACAAATCAATAAACATACCATTCAAGAATAGAACATTCGTGCACAGGTACTAATCATATCACTTTTCGGACTGGACGATGTAATATGGCCGACAATAAACCTTGGTCTTCTACATGTATGCATACACATGTAACCTCCCAGCACAGTAGACCTATGGGTATGCCTGGGTCTCAAACTTTCAGACCCCTAAAACCAATCAGTATTCTCAGAGGAAAAAACACACTTTCTTCGCCATCACATCATCTCGCCTGAATGCCTGCTCCACTGCCGTAATGAAGCACCCATATGTGTCAGGTTATTGAATTTCCAGCAAGACATCCATCATGGAGCTGGTCCTCTGTCACTACCATGACCTGGTCCACGACCCACCTCCACAACCTGTCCATGGCAACATTAATCAGCAAAACTGTGCTGACAAGTTGACCAAAACAGTCCTAGTGGCAGATGTCATTAACCCGAACCCCCTCGGGTGTATGTAAAATCATATTAAAATCGGAAGATTTGGGACTGTTAGGGGTGGCTAAATGTACATGTACATACAGACATAGCAACTAAGTGGTATACGTGAATGTGTATTGTTCCGTGGCTGTGGGTACAAGTACACGGTACTTCATCTATTTTGTGGGGACCAAAAAACATTGTGAGGACAGAGAAATGTCCAAACAACTTGGTTCTTATTAAAGTATGGCCTACCCACACGCAGTACATGTACATGTGTACACACATGTACGTACCGGTACATGTACATGTTTTAGGACATATCACATGCAGTGAATGAAATGAACTACTGCAATCTTTTGAGTTACTCTTCCAGCATCATTGACATCCAAGATAAAGAGATGTCATACTCACTTTGCAGTTGTATGATACCCAGGTACTTGGCAAATGCGGCATCTACATGTAGATTGTGAACCACTCCTGCACTTTAACTGCCTGCGCTGACAGACCGAGCCACTAGGTTTAACCAAAATCCCACATCTAGCAACTCAATTGATCCTTTCTCTCCATATAAACCCTCCCCCAAAATTTGCTGCAATACAATCTGCCCACAGTGCGTAGGCCGGAACTGCAGTGTCTCTACAAGTACATTGTACATCTCTACACAGCCTTGTACAGCAAAAGATGCCACTTTTACCCAAAAGGTTGTTTACAGCACGCGATTAGCGAAGCATACCCAGTAACAAGAACCAAAATTGCACTTCTTTTTTCTTTCATCATCGGTCGAATTGCCAAGTACAGAAAGCCAAGGGCATAAACTATCACCCACACACTGGAATGCGTAGCCAACCAAGATGGATGATTAGAAATTCCACTGCAATTTGTGGCTTTGTGGTTTGTAGTGATAATAGAAATGGGATGGGCTTGGGCACATGTGTCCTTGAATGGTAGTTAGTGGTTACAAGCAATAAAAATAAAATAAAAAGACTTGAAAAATGATACTGTGGAGAAGTTCATCTAAATGAAACTATTCAACATTACCATAACGATGCTAATTCTAGCAAGTCCACAAAACGTTAACCCTAACAGTCCTCAATCCTCCAATTTTAATATGATTTTCCACACCCCCTAGGGGGTTAGGGTTTTAATAGAAAAGTGGGTTGGGAATGAAAGGGATAATGACACACAGAAAACAAACGGAATAAAGACATCAAGATAATGCTGATGGGTTAAATGACTAACAATCAACCAGAGATTGATACCAGCTTTGTTAGTACAGGCATCTAGATACCGTCCACTCACCTATTTATGTATGTAACACAGGGAAAAACGAAAGTAAGGAATGAAAACAAACAGCAGGAAAGGGAACCGATGCGAAAGAGAAACCGACAGTAGGTTGATTGTCATGACAATAATAACCGGATTAAACTCAATGCTTTGATCTGATTTAAAAATACACCGTATACACATGCACATAAAGATCTGTTAATCTGACAATCTAATATTAACTTATCAAGGTACATGTCGACATCACAATTTCATTCAGAAGCTTTACATGTACATGTATAATTATCACTCCATGACTATTCCACTCCAGCATCTAGGTACCTATGTTGAAATCAACAACTCAAAAATCCAGCCCACACCATGTACCAGTACATTACCTGGATCAATCCGATCTGAGCAAGCTCATTCTCCAACATGCCCGAAACTCAAAAGAGCACAGGTACCAATACGGCATGTACATGCATGTAGGACCTCCATGGCAAATTCCCTCCGCAGCTCTCAACTTTTTCTTCTTTTCAAAGTGAGAGTTGGAACCATTTCCACAAACTGATCGCTAATCCACACAATTAATCCTACACATCTAAGACAGGAATGGACACTGTTGCGCAGTGTGGGCAAGAAAGCTCTGGATGTGCTAAACATGGATGAAAGGAGGAGTACAATGCTCTCCCTGGCCCTGCTGTGTGGGCTGACGGGACAAATGATGCACTCTTCACTTCACTGACCAACAAAAGACTGATGACGGAAACTGCAACACATGTGCATGTGATGTACTGGTGTAAAAGCAGAGCTGAGAATCTGATGAAAGACCAAACTGGGTCTGATTGCCATGCCCAGAGGGGCTCCAATTTGTGCTGACCAGATCAACTGAAAAGAAAAAGGCTACCCTCAAAATCACATTGGAATGAAATTCAAAAGACTGACCACCTCAAAGGCTACAGCTACATGTACATGTGTTAAAGAACAAGACAGAGATGAGATAAGTACTGAACAGCAAACTC